CTTTCCTCAGCCACAGCCTCCATCAACCGTAGCAAGCTTTTCTATATCCCAACTCTAGTACAGCTTGGTAAATATGCCAAAGAAGTAACGAAACATTTAAACAAGGCCTTCATAAATGGTCTGTTCTTGGCACCCACTCTCTCCCCCCCCCCCGTTACTATTTTGTTGTTGTTGATGTTAAAAAGGATATTAAATGTCTGTAACAAAGCAGTTTTACTGTGGCAAACAGTCACCTATGAGAAGTCATTGTTATTCCTAGACGGCGAAGAAAGACTGAATGCTGCTGATGTACTTGAACCGACATAACGCCACTAGATTAATAATGCTCTTTCCGTGTGCTACATTTTTGTTGTCTTGACAACAGAAATAATTCAGAAAAGAAGGCTGCTTCTTCCTCTGCTCCCCCCATCCCCATCCCCATTTAGTAAATTGGCTTGAAAATTGAGACGTACTATATGAGCTTTTATAGGTATATAAACAATTAATGCAAATCCACAACAGTTCCCTCTCCTTTGATATAAAAAAAAACGGGCCACGTTTAGCCAAACAGCTCTGAATGACAGGAGGGATCCAAACACATACAAGTATATTCCCACCTGTAGTTATTCAAGCTGATTCTCACCTTCATTCAAACTATTTTGAGAGGGAAAGTACTGTGATAAAAACGAACGCATAAGAGCAGCAATTCTGAAACTTTGTTTCCTTCTGGTTGGTTTGGCCGTTGTGGACCATCACATTTTCTCCTTGTGGCTATCACATGGGAAAGTGATTGAAGGCTTAAAAAAAATTAGACAGCTGCCTCCCCCCCCCACTTTCTGCTGTGGGAGAGAACTGTCCATTACAGTGGTACCTCGGGTTAAGGACTTAATTCGTTCCGGAGGTCCGTTCTTAACCTGAAACTGTTCTTAACCTGAAGCACCACTTTAGCTAATGGGGCCTCCTGCTGCTGCCGTGCCGCCAGAGCCCGATTTCTGTTCTTATCTTGAAGCAAAGTTCTTAACGTGAAGCACTTTCTGGGTTAGCGGAGTGTGTAACCTGAAGCATATGTAACCTGAAGCATATGTAACCCGAGGTACCACTGTATGGCAATTTGTGCTGCTGAAAAGTCAAGCTGGTATTCAGTTGAACTTCCAAAAACAAAACTGTCAAGTGGATAGCCTCTTCAGCATGCAATGGAAACATCAAGTAAACATTTGGCTCTCCAGCAATCCTCACTATTGTCTTCACCATGGTCTCTAGAATCACCTGGAGCACCAGAAAACCACTCAGACCATGCTAAGAATGACTGCAAGAGATATTCCTTGCACAGGAAAGGGTGTATCAGCAAGCATCTAATCATACACAATCCAAATTTAACAGATAGAGCTCAGGAAGGTGTTTTAAACTTATACAACCAATTGTATAGATGCATCAGAGTTTTTCTCTATGCTTTGTGACCTCCAACACTTCGTGATTCCCAGCTGGTTTTGGCTCCATCTTCACACAGGCCTGGCCTAGGACATTTGCCCATTGGCAGCAGCTGAATTTAGCCACCACTAGCTTGCTTTCTGTAATTGATTCACATGAAAGCAGCTGGATAAAAGTGCCCCCTCCCCTGAGATTTGAACCCTGGTTTCTCCCAGGTGCTAATCTGACACTCAAACCACAATACAGCACACCGGCTATTTTGATCTTTTTTTTTTTTTTTTTTACAGAGATGTGCATAAAGAGTTAATCAGTACCTTATTAGATGTCCAACCTATTATTTATTTCTTTGCCTTATCAGCAGTACACTGAGGTGATTCATCTGAAAGATGGCTCATAGCTCCCTACACTTGAGAGATTAGAGTAGGTTCTAAGATGAAGTCCAAACCTCTTCCTTTGATGTGGCTTTCTGGTGAATCATTTATTGGAGGTAGCCTTAATCACATCAAAGGCCCCTTTATCAGCATCTTCCTGTTTTTCAGCCAAGGTATGCGGCCTATATATGTTGCTCACCTGATATACTACACCACTCTTAAAAAAACTTTTCAATAGTTCTCTCCCCCGTTGTCTGATGTAAAGTAGCATACAGTTTTGGAGCAACTGCCCCTAGCTATTCACTTTGTTCGGTGCCACTCCACTACCATGATGTTAAATTAAGTTGCAGTTCTGGAGTTATCCCGTGGACCCAGTTTATGGATTTGACTACTGAGGCCATCCCCAGAGAGATGAGGATTTGGCAAAGCTCTCCCCCGCTTTTCCAGGCTTGACTGCTGATGAGCTCCATGGGGGACCTTACCTACGGCAAGTAGGAAAAAAACCACCTCCAAAACCATAATCTTGCGATTCACACAAGCTACCAGAGTCACATTGCACTGAACTGCAAGTACAACACTGCCTGCTGGATTCCATTTAAGGTGATGGTTGGTTGGTTGGTTTTTAACGTTTTAAGCCATACACAGTCTGGGATCAGCCAACATTAGGAAGCATCTCCTTCCCCATAGCCCTGAATGATTGTTAAGATGAAGCATAGAAAACCTGCTGTGTATTCCCTTCCTATGATACATTTCATCTGCACGAAAGGACTTTTTCTTCTGTTATGATGCCCGTTTATTGTTGGAGAAGGCAAAGCCCTTTGATAGCCAGGAAGGCGGACACACCAGCAGTCTGGGGTGAATGGTGAGCACAAGAAAACTTTTTTTTAACATACAGCCATAAATACATTTTTAAATATATATATATAAGCTTTAAATCACAGACAAATATATACAGTATAAGCTTTAAATCACAGACAGTCATTCTCTCATTTAGACACCTCTCCTTCTCTTTCTGCAGTTCCTTGTTTATATTTTAATTTACTGCATATCCAAACTACACCAATTTGTTATTTACCCTCTATGTTACTTATATGTTGTTGCTGTTGTTGTTTTTTCTTACTGCAAGTTGTTTACATTAACCCTGCTAACATCTTAATTTGTTTATAATAACTTTGGAAATATACTATAAATGAGTTCCATTCTTTCTTAAAAACTTGATCTTCTTGATTTCTTATTCTTCTTTTGATTTTGCCATTTCTGCATAGTCCATTAATTTCTTTAACCATGCTTCTTTTGTTGGGACATTTTCTTCTTTCCATCCTTGGGCGTATAACATTCTAGCAGCAGGGGTCACATACATAAATACGTTTTTATATTGCTTGGGTAACTCTAATCCAATTATTCCTAAAACCATAAATACAAAATAGGTAAATAAACAATTACTACATAATAATACAATGGAGTGTAAAAGAGTTCACAACCAGTTATACTTGAGCACTTTTCAGTTACCAGACCGAAATATAAATCAGCTTGTGAATATTGTAATATCACACAGTGGTTTTGAAGGAGAGAGGGAGAAAACTGGTCTTGCAGCCAGTTGACAATAACTACCAAAGTCAGTTACCACGAACACCTTAATGCCAGCTAATACTATTGATTACTTATCATGGCTGGGTACTTCACTGAGTGGCACAACTAAAAACCCAAAGTGACTGCTTCAGAACATACCTGGGCACATTTCTGTCAAAGCACATGTTCCTTAAATTAAAATGACAAAATTGATTATCATCTACTTTATTAAATAATAAAAAGCTCCCCTTTAAAAGAAATTTCCTTGAGGATATTTTGCTCAGGTAGAACTACCCCAAGGATCTTGGGCTCTAAATCAGGCTTCCCCAACCTGGAGCCTTCTAGATATTTTAGACTACATCTCCCACTAGCAAAACATCTGGAGGAGGGCACCAGGTTGAGGAAGACGGCTCTAAAAGCTCCCAGCTCCATGCTGTTTTGGGTCCCACACCTCGGCAGGTGACAGCAGCCACTCGGGTCTGGGACCAGCTTTCCTCTCCTCCGTGTCTGAATCCTGACTGCTGTTAATTTCCACAACAGCATCCACTCTGCTTTATTGGCAAGAGTTATTTTATTTGCAGAATGCTTTTCCATTAAAAGATCAAGGTGGCATCCTAGGAAGTTCAAGAAAGCGATGATCGAAAATATTTAGAACAATAAAAATTTTCTCTTAAAAAAAACAAAAAAATGAGCAGCTATAAAGCAACAATATAAATAACGGACCTGCATTAAAAGCAGCAAATGAGCTTTCAAGAACTAAAAATGCTTTGTATTATTATTATTTTTAAAAATATCATAATCTAGTGGAAAGATTCATGCGCTGGTAGACTTCTGCAGTGAGGCAAATTCTTACGCCAGGTGGTGCCACAGCAGAAAGGTTATTGACACAGCAGAAAGGCTGACACAGAGAATAGCTGGGTCATACGATCATGTTAAATATATTCTGTGGCATTTTCAGTTCCCAAAGTTTTATAGACCCTTTCTCTTGCTCACATTTCAGAATTTCATCACACCAGCCATCAGACTGTCAAGAATTACTATTTTAACACTTAAGTGTACAAAGTGTTTTAAAATTCCTATCCGCATGATAAAACTGAGCGTGTACCCGAGCGGCCACTGAGTGAACTGCACTGGGAGAAGAGATAGAAGTGTTCCAGCCCCAGGCCTTAATTTGGAAGTGGGCTCATCCCTGGGTTTTGGGTTTCAGCGCCAAGGCTCAAACCTTGGGAATTACAAAGCAAGAAGAGATGAAAGGGCCACTGAGCATGAGCGGAGTGCATTGAGTCATTTAGGCTGCTAATTAATGTGTGTGTGTGCACGCACAGAGGGGGTCTTGTTTTCCATTTGTTGCTATGTTATGTAATGTTGGGTTTTTACATTTTAAACTGCCTTGCAGTCCTCGGATGGTGGGTGGCATAGAAATTTAGTAGGATAAAACAAAAAAATAAAATAAAAATAATCCTAAACTCATTACTGAGCACTAAGCCCCTCTGAGCACAGCAGGACTTATAAGTGACATGCATAAGCTTCTCCTGTGATCCTAGTCCCTTTTACTCCGCCTTTGGAGGGGAAAATAAGCAAGGCAGACGATCTGCTCTCATCGACGTCCCCCCCCCCTTCCTTTCCTCTCCCTTCCTCCTCCAGTGGGATATTTCAGGATCCCTCCCTCCCTCTCTCCCCGTGGATCTCTGCGCTGCTCTCCAGCCTCTACCCAGGCAGGCCTCTCTCCTCGCCATCCTCCTCCTCGGTGGGTGTGAATGAGTGGGCGAGGGGTGTGACCGCGCCGGCTTCGGCGTGATTTCCGGCTTTGCTGAAAACGGCTTTTCCCCGCAGCATCAGCACCGCTGGCAGCCGCCGCCGCCGCCGCCGCCACAGCAACAAGTCAGGTAAGCGCTGCGCTCTGCGCCACTGCCTGGAGCCCGGGGAGAGCCAGGGGCGCACTGGGGGGGGGGGGAGGAGGGCGCAAGGGGGCCGGGAAGGATCCCGATGCAGGTGGCTCAAGATGCATTGGAGACCTGGGCCAGAGAGAGGCAGGCAGGCAGGCATCCCCGGCCAGGCGCCCTGCCAGGCTGCAACCCCCCCCCCCCAAATCGTGCAGGAACCGCTGGCTGTGGCTTTCAGCAAACCCGCTTCGCTGCAGACATCTTTCTGCATAGTGGCCAGCGTTTCTCCGTCCTCCACAGATGCGGGTCCCCTTCTTCCCACCCGCTCCTCTGTATCAGGCTGCATCTCTGCCGTCCTCTCCCCCCTGTTCCCAATGCCAACATCCCTTTTGATCTTCACTGTAAAGCACACGCGCGCACATCCAGACTTCCCACATCTCTCTCTCTCCATCCCCCTATCTGCAGATTGCCGGAGCTCAGCTTCCTTTCACCTTGCTGTGTGCTCTGTGCTGTGGTGTGCGGTGTTGACTTGCCAAAGATAAGGAGGAGGTGGAATGGAATATTTCGCTGTCTGTTGCCCAACTTGACTAATATAGAAAGCCTCGGCGTTTGACCCAGATATATCAATATCACAATGCTTACGAAAGGACACATCCAATAGAAAGCAAGCTTGCGAGGAAGATTTGTAAATCTAGGATTTTATCTTTTCCCAAAATTCTCCAGCATCCCTCACAGGCCCTAGTTTTCTAGGTACTTGATAATTATGAGTATTTCATGAACAGGGTTTGTGGTTTTGATGTAGAGGAGGCCTCAAAATGACTTGCAAATCAGATATTTGATGACTTTGTGCTGCTGGGCTGAAATCTGAAGGCGACCAGTTTAATTTCCCAAACCTATTTTGACACCGAGCTTGATTTGCATGTCTCACACAAGGCTTGGTTTGTGTTTGCAGAAATGCACAAGTACGTAAATGGCACCATCCAAAGTTAAGCACCTTTCAGTCCCATTTATTTCTATGGGTATGTCAGGATATCGGAAGCTGCCTTATATTGAGTCAGACAATCAGTCCATCTAGCTTGCTGTTGTCTACTTTGACTGACAGCAGTTCTTCATGGTTTCATAGAGGAGACACCAGAGATCGAACCTGCGACCTTCTGAATCCAAGACAGTTGTTCTGTCCCACTGAGCTAAGGCCCTTCCTCCTCACCTATGACAAATCAGCACAGTACACCAGTAAAGAGCACAGCAAAGTGGAAGCATTAAGCAGATGCTTAACTCTCCCACCAAAATCAATGAGGCTTGAAAAGTGCTTAACTTTAAGTGAGTCATGCCCACATCCCGGAAACGCACTGACAGCTGAAGGTCTATGAATGCACACTGCCATGTGACCAAGTTGCCTAGCATGAAATTGCTTCTGTTATGTTCATCCAAGGCTCAGGGTGGCTGACACTAAAAAAAACCCCCAATCATTCAGGTCCCATAATAAAAACAAAACCCCATAAAACCATCCTGAAATGTGGTAACTTATTATTCAGGATCTTGAAAGGTTGCCATCCTTATTGCACTCATTTCCTGCTAGTCTTTTGGGAAGCTCAGAGACCTTACCCTGGGCTGCTATTTCCCTTTAAAAAAAATTAAGGGTACCATGTCTTTTAATGGAGAAAGGCTCCAAAATGCAGGAAGGTGCTGCAAGGAATTTCCAGGAATCTCAGAAGTGTCCTCTCCTGTTCCCTAACATTTCTTGAGCTCCTTCAGGGTGCTTATCTCTATAAAGAACCTACTCTCTCTTGAGAGAACATGCAACTCTCCTTCCAGTCCATTAGAGATCTTGAAAAGCGCCTTACGCGGAGTTATGCAATTGCAGCTCGAACCTATGCATGTTTACTCAGAAGTAAGTCCCAATGAGCTTGATGAAGCTTACTGTAAGTAAGTGTACATTGGACTGGGCCTGAGTCCATCTGGTTCAATCTTCTCTACTTTGAGGAGCAGATGCCTCTTAGGTGTTGCTCCAGTGCTACTTCCTGAGATGCTTGTAGCCAGCAGTTGAGCCTGGGACCTTCTGCATGCCCAGCAGATGTGCTCCCACTGTGCTGTGCTGATTCCACCGCTACCATTGTCTCTTCCTGCACTCCCTTCTCTTTCTCAAGCCTCATTCTAGCCCCCAAATCCTGAAAATAAGCTCAAATCTTAGTGCTGACTTCAGCTAGGGAGAGAAAATAAATGTATGCAAATATCATGGATCTGCATAACTGATTCCCTCTAGCTCAGTTGCAGAGCATGTGCTTTGCATGCAGAAGGAGGCATGCTCAATCCCTGTTTGAATGGAGGGCTGGGAAAGAGTTCTGCTGCTGGTTGGTGTAGTCTATACTGAGCTGGAATGGTAGAAGGCAGCTTCTTCAGTTTCCTCCCCTGAAATGGGAGTTTCCCAGATGCAGAATTCAGAAATGTTCCATGCAGAGTTCCAAACCCTTTTAACTTACAGCTATATTGGGATGCAGACCTATATTTATACCCTGCCCATCTGGCTGGGTTTCTCCAGGCACTCTGGGTGACTCCCAACAGAATATTAAAAACACAGTAAAGCATCAAGCATTAAAAACTTCCCTAAACAGGGCTGCCTTCAGATGTCTTCTAAAAGTCAGATAGTTGTTTATTTCCTTGACATCTGATGGGAGGGCGTTCCACAGGGTGGGCACCACTGCCAAGAAGGTCCTCGGCCTGGTTCTCTGTAACCTCACTTCTCGCAGCGAGGGAACCTTCAGAAGGCCCTCAGAGCTGGACCTCAGTGTCCGGGCAGAACGATGGGAGTTGAGACTAAGAAACCTGGTACGATGCAGAGGGATGGACTAGATGATGCTCAGGGTCCCTTCCAGATTCTACGATTCTATGATTCTACGATTCTCTTTCTTTTAGGATCTGGAAAGTAATGCAACAGAACACTTTTGAAGAAAGCAGATACCCCTGGCAGGAGTCGTTTGAAAATGTCAGCGTCTGCATGCCGTTCCGTTGCCCACGATGCGGGGACCGCACCAGATTCAGGACCCTGTCCTCCTTGAGAGCCCATCTGGAATACAGCCACAGTTACGAAGATCGGAGCCTTCTGACAAAATGCAACCTCTTTTCTTCCCTCAGAGATGCAGACCTGATCTCTTCTTCCGAGCCCCTGACGCCAGGGATGCTTGGCGATGGCACCGGTGTCATGAAACCAAAGACGTCCTATCTCAACTTCTGCGACACGGCCCGGGAGAACGCCAGGAACAGGAAGCCGCTGGAGGCGGAAGCGGAAAGGCCTGCGTCTCTGGGGTCAAATTACACGTCAGGGGAATCCGTCGACGAGCCGATTTCTAAGCCAGGGTTGGCGACAAGTGACTCGAAAGCCTCGTTCGAGGCCCACGTGAGAGAGAAGTTCAACCGGATGGTGGAGGCGGTGGACAAAACGATCGAGAAGAGGATCGACAAGCTTACCAAAGAGCTGTCCCAAAAGACAGCCGAGCTCTTGGAGGTTCGGGCAGCTTTTGTGCAGCTTTCTCAGAAGAAGCAGGAAGTCCAGAGGCGGGAGAGGGCCCTCAACAGGCAAGTGGACGTGGCGGTTGAGATGATCGCGGTGCTGAAGCAGCGGCTTACGGAGTCAGAGGAGGAGCTCCACAGGAAGGAAGAGTAAGTGGGAGGATGGGGAGAAGGACGACAGGGAGGGGGAACCGCAGGCCTAGGAGGTCAGATGTGGCCTTACTAGCTGGCCCTCAGAATCCTCTTCAAGCCACACACCCTCCTGAGCCACACCCTTCGCTGGCCATGGTTTGCAAACTCCTCCAATGTTTTCGTTTGGCTAGATTGGGTCCTGGAACTCTGATAATGCTTCTTGTGTGTCTGGATTGAGGATAGGGAGGGCTGTGTGAATGTGTGTGGAAAGTAACCCAGACCCTCCAAGTGCCCCTATTTTGCAGGAACAGCCCCGGATTTACAGAAGCCACCCCGGTTTCTGATTTGATCCCAGAATGCCCTGCTTTTTCTTAGGATTTCCCTAGTTTCATTGGAGAAATGTTGGAGGGTATGGAGTTATCGGACCACTGAGCCATCTGAAGGCAGCCCTGTATAGGGAAGTTTTTTAATGCTTCATGTTTTATTATATTTTTATATATGTTGGAAGCCGCCCAGGGTGTCTGGGGCAATCCCGTCAGATGGGTGGGGTATAAATAGTAAAAGATTAATAATAATAGGGTTGTCCTATTATTATTATTATTATTATTATTATTATTATTAAATAGGACATCCCTATTTTCATTGGAGGAATGTTGGAGGGTATGGTCACCTATTGTTCAGTGGTAGAATATGCATTTATTGCTTTGCCCACTTTTGCTCTGGGCGCCGCAGTGTGGCCCCTGACCTCTGAAGTAGCATAATGCGTGTCTTTCCTTTCTGTCACAGGAGTTTGGGGTGAGGTTGTTGTAGGAAGACATGCAAGGCAAGGTATGGTAGAGGAAGGCCAGTATTCACTGGTGTCTGTTCCATTAGGGTGAGTGAGGCACTGGCCCACGGACCTCCATCTGCCCTCAGACAGCTCCCACTTCCCTGCCTTCTTACCAACAACCAAGAAATTCTACACACATAATCTTTTGCGACACAGATGAGAGCAAGAACCTTCCTGTGTAGGTTGTGCTTCACATATGCATGAGAGCCCTTAGGGGAGTGCAGATCACACCTGGACTTCTTTATGCACAGAATTTGGCTGTTTACATGTCTATCGTCTAATCCATTTATTCTTTCCGTCATGGATAGGGAACCTGTGGCTCTCCTGAAATTGCTGGCATTTCCAACTCTTCGTTATCCCCGACCATTGGCCATTCGGGCTGGGGCTGATGGGAACGGAAGTCCAAAAACTTCAGGAGGGCCACAGGTTTCCCACCAATGTTTCACTATATGTCTGCTTCCCATCTCTTTCACACCTGTGTCTTCTTTTCTCCACAACCCAGTGGGCACCTAGCTTCTTTAGAAAGCATATGATTTCTGCCTTGAAGCATAGACCCATTGATTTGAGATGTGAAGAAGGCACGCATCAGGGTATACTAATTCATGCATCATTCAAGCAATCCAAATTTATTAGATGGATCTTTTAAACAAGCTGTACAATAAGGGTAACGACATTTATGCTCTCATGGCATCCGGTAAGATTACTTATACAGGAAGGTGCTACTCTATAAATAAGGGTACGTGCTTTAGCTTCAGAACTGGAGGTAAAGACATAAATGTCTTGTTTTCAAGTACCCCCTTCCCACCCTCAGTTCATTGGAAAGTAAGTGGTGCAAACAGCATTAGATGGGATCGTCTCTTGGAAGGAGTCATAATCTGGTTTCCTGCTGGCTTTCATAGCAGATACCAAAGATATTTTGGCAGTTCCAGCTCTTCTAAAAATACTTTCATGTTGCATTCATTAAAAATGTAGTAATTGCCAATACATTATTTATATGTGAACTACTTAAGACTGCAGTCCTCAGATTGCCCACTCTCTGATGTTCCTCATCAACACCAGTAGAAGGAATATGGAGCAAATGGTTGAAAGACTGCGGTCTCGGTTAGCACTCTTAGGCACCCTTCAAGCAATTCAAAATACCTGAATATTTTCAAATTAAATGTACGGTGCTGCTGTTGTTAAAATTAGCTAGCCCTATAGCTCAGACATTTAAGGCAGCAATCCTAAACGTGCCAACTAGTAAGTTAGGCTGCAGTTCTGTACGCAATACTAGGGACGTTCACGGTCTCCAAGATACCTGTGCTATTTTAAAAATCCCAATATACTTCCAAGTCACACTGTGCTCTCTGTGCTTTGATTTATTCTTCATGCTCTGAGCCATTTTGTAAAACGAAGCTGTATGTGCCCCATTCACTATAATGGGGGAATCTAAAAATGTCCATAAATTCCCCCTCTTTTGGCCAAAGTGGATGGAATCCACCGGTGTCTCTTCAGAGTGGATAAGCCTGACAAATTGCAGAAAAATAGGTTAGGGAGCTTTTTGCTGGGAAGGTAAAAGGATTCACGTTTCTAATACTTATTATGCCAATTAAAGCTCAAAAATCTGTATTGGTTTCCTTTTTTTTATAGGGGGTGTTCTTTATTCATTTTAAAAATTCCTAGCTTGCCCTCCATTAGTACCAATACCACCACAGGGTACGACATAAGATATCTTATATAGCATCATGAAAAATTCTTAGAAACAGCTAGCAACCAACCAACCAACCAGAATGAGTTTCCACGCACACCTAGAGCCAACCTGATTTTTTAATCTTATATTGGAGTTCTCCATCCTCTTCCCAGTTTGCCTCAACTGAAGATGTGGGCCTTCAGATGTTGCTGGACTCCAATTCCCATCAGGCCTAGTCAGCATGGCCAACTGTCAGGGATGATGGAAATTGTAGTCCAAGAACATCAGGAGGGCCAGAGGTTCCCCCACACTTAACATGTTAAAGAATGGCCTTGTTTTTCATACAAAGTCCTGCAGGGGACAAGAGAAGAGGAAGTCAATATGTTTCTCTTCTCAGGGAATGCTGCAAACTCATGAAGCTGAGCAAACTCTGTACCATGAAGGTTATTTATTCCCTTTTGGACTTTGGTTGCTTGCCTTGTGCTTGCACTGCGCTGGTGTTTTGGGACTGCCCTTTGTGAGGAAACCCATGGAGAATCCAAAACCCATGCAGCTCCGCTCCCAACAGCTTGTTGTGTGGATACGACATCCCAGAATGCATTGCATGAGGCTGGAGCCACATTCATCTTCTGTCACAGGCCTTGAAAAGAGCAAGAGGGAGTTGAAACCAACAGCCTAAGATAGATAGAGTGCAGCTGAGATAAGAAGAAAGAACGGCAACAAATGGGAATGCTAGCGAAGCCCTTTATATTGTGTCAGCAACATGTGTGGGCCTTTGGACAGATAAATAATAATAATTATCACTGTTATTGTATTTACATGCCATTTCCCCGCCACTCGCTCAGCCACTCTCAAAGCAGCTTACAGTCAGCAAAATACATTCCCAACCTTTGGAGAGATTACGGTTCAACACAGGACAGGAGGGAGAAAGGCAGGAAAAAAGAGTTGCACATTCAGTTGTATATGCATGGCTTGGCTGTCTCTGAACAACTGGCATATTTACTGGCATATTTGCCCAGTGAGGGTACAGAGAAGTCAGTTCTGCTCCAAGCAAATTGGTCTCTTGGGTGTCTGTGCGTGCATTCTGGGATCGCTACAAAACAATTCACTTTTTCTTCCATATATCACTGCAAAGATCAGTATTAACACACACACAAACACATCAATCAATCAATCAATCAATCAATCAATCACCAGCCCCCTTTTTAAAAGGAAAACAGTCTTTCAGAGGCATCTCTTCTACCATACTGAGGCCGCATTCCCACAACACATTTAAAGCACTGTGATACCACTTTAAGCAGCCTTCCCCACAAAGAATTTTGGGAACTGTAGTATGTTAAAGGTGCTGAGAGTTGTTAGGAACCCCTGTTCCCTTCCCAGAACTACAGTTCCCAGAGTTCCCTAGGAAGAGGGATCGATTGTTAAACCACTCATGAGAATTACAACTCTAGGGGCTGAATAGGAGTCTCCTAACAGTTCTCAGTATAACAGCCTACAGCTCCCAGAATTCTTTGGGGGAATCATCCATGAGTGTTTCAAGTGGTATCACAGTGCTTTAAATGTATAGTGCAAATGTGGCTTGAGTACATTCTTGGTTATGTTCTTCAAGACATAATGGGGTTTTTGTTCAGTTTTGCATTCTAGTGGGAATGCTTATTAACTTCAGCTAGATTTTGTTGCTGAACCTCCTGCTAATTCTCTAGAAGAGGAATCAAGATATTGCTGAACACTTGGAATGGATTTTGTTGATTAATTGGGTCCTCATTGTTGCACCTCTTACTTGGTTCAGCTTTTGCTAATGATGCTCACACAGCTGCATAATGTCATCATAAAATCCTTTGAAACCATCTTTCACTTCAAGAAAGGCCCCATTCTAGAGCAGTGTTTCCCAACCGGTGTTCCGCGGCACACTAGTGTGCCGCGAGATGTTGCCTGGTGTGCCGCGAGCGAGTCCAAAAAAGGTTGGGAAACACTGGTTTCTCTTTCAAAAAGGAAACGTGGGTTAAAGCGGCGCCGCCGCCTCCCACTCACTTTCCTGCTCTGGCTTCCCTAACAGTTTTCCGAGTTGCGTCACTGGATCCAGCCCCCTTTTCCACATGTGACACGGGGCTGGAGGGAGGGAAAGAGGGCTTTACGTCGCGCACAAAGGCAGCCTCCTAGAAGCGCTCTGGGCCGGCGCCGTTTCGCCGAAGGCACCGGAGGACCCCCACCCTCAGCTCCTTCAGAAAGGAAGCCCCGCCCCTTGGCTCCCTACGCCGCCAGGCAGCTCAGCTGACTGACGAGGACGTTCTGCGGCGGCGGCGGCCGCACAACCACCGCAGTTTCTGGCAGCGTCCACAGCGCAATAAGTAACAGCGCCTGGTGCTGCCAACTTTCTCTCTCTCTCCCGCCCCCAAGCTCTCGCGCGCCCCGCGTCAACATCGCCGCGCGCAGCTTCCTGAGCTCGAGGCCAGCCGCTGCACGCACGCGCCGGCTCGTCATCGGCTCCGGTTGTTGCCTTTCTCCGCCGAGGTCGGTGGACCCCAAGCCTAGACTTCCTTCCCGCACCCCGCTTTCCGAAGACCGCACACCAGTTGGGCCAGTACATATTCCCCTCCCGTGACTGGAGCGGAATAGCCCTTTCTCTTCTTCCCCAACCCTTGTCGTTGGAGGAGTCCCTCAGTCCCTCGCTTTGCTGCCTCCTCCCCCCCCACTCCCAAAGCTTGGAGGTTCCCCGGCAAGGGGGAGGGAAAAAAATTGAAAGTTACACTTTCGTGCGTCCCTCCCGGCGTGACGCTGCGCGCTGACATCACGGGGCTGTAATGGTGGTGTGCCTCGAGATTTTTTTCATCAAACAAGTGTGCCTTTGCCCAAAAAAGGTTGGGAAACACTGTTCTAGAGGAATGCCTGGGTCCCATTAAGGAGGCTTTCCATGCACATTTAAGCATTCAGATTCCACAGAATTCAGCAGGAAAAGCAAAGAGAAGCTCCTCTGGAATGGGAAAACTCTCATTGCAGGCTTAAGATGCCTCTCAGGTGCCAGAGGTTGTATTTCCCATTTTCAAACAGGGGGCAAATTATTGTGGCACAAAATAAATAAGCTTCTTATTGTCTGAAAAGGCCCTTCAATTTATTGTTATTTCTAGAAGCATTAAGGTGATCACTTATTCATCGCCCTCCGCCAAAGGAAATGCCTCTCACACTCAAAAGAACAGATATTTGCATATTATTTGCATATGTCACTGTATCTGTATGGATGCGTATTTAGAAACAATGACTATAATTGAAATAAAAACATGACAGAAGTGCCTGGCGTGCTCTGGTCCATGGGGTCACGAAGAGTCGGACACAACTAAACGACTAAACAACAACAAGTTTCACCATACTGGAGAGGACTGAGACCAGGTGAGCTTGTGTGTCTGCTCGATCTGTGGCCCAGTTGCTTACTGTTGATGGCAACTTCAAGGCTTTTATCTTTAAGCCAGACAGCCCTTCAAACATCTAAAGGATGCTCCCCAGCACCAGTGATGTCCATTTATTTGGCTGTGTGCAGGTGGTTCTGAGAAGGTCAGCAGTGCACCTGGGGCTGAATATATTCACAGCACAGGCAAGAGTGTCCCTAAATTAAAAAGTAGCCCCCGTCCGTTCTTTCCTTCTGCTCTCTAGCAAAAAGGAGGAAACGCCAGTGTTCTTCCAAATTCCAGCAGAGCTGCACTTTTGTCGTTTCAGAGAAGTCGTTACGTTTAATCACTTCCTGGAGGAAGCTGCTGAGAAGGAGCTTCGCGGCAAAGCCAGGCTCCAGCGTTTCATTGAGAATCTCCTTCAGCGGGTGGATCTGGCAGAAAAGCAACTGGAGTACTACCAGAATCAGCAGATTGTGGGCAGCTACAGCGATGTCCATGAATATGTGGTAGGCAAAAAATGAGGGGGGTGTTCTTTCATAAGACCTGAACAGGAAGTGGAACTGATGGGAATTGTAGTCCACAGCATCCAGGGTGCACCGGGGGGGGAGGCTGTTCTAGTGGAGCAGGGGTTGCGGTGGCTATTTCTGCTATATTGTTTGTTCAGTTTGGCATCTGTCTTGAGAGACAATGGAGTGTGCTTCCGGGGGTCAGACCTCTGCCCAGTTGACAAGCCCCCCCCCCCAGCTTTGCTGATGTGGTCCAAAGGCGCCATCTTAGGGACTCTACTGCAGATTTGTGTAGGGTTTACTCCTTAGCCTTTGAAAGTACATTTGTCATCCTTGGGTTGCAATTCAAGATAGAGCTGTTGTTGCCTATGTGTATATGTTGATCCCCTCCCCCTCCCCCCATCTCATAAGAAGCATCCTGCTCGATCAGACCAAATGCCTATGTAGCTTAGCATCATGTTTTCCTCATTCAGGGCCGGCCCTGCCATTAGGAAAAGTGGTGCCTCAGGCGGCAAGTGTTGAGGGATTGACAGCAGCAATGAGGTGTTGGTGTTGGTGTGCCCTGAAACCTTAAGCTAAGTCAGGTGTATTCAGGTGCAGTGGAGGATGCTGTCCTGGTGATGAAGTAAGATTAGACTACCAGGCGAATCAGCTTTGGTACATGGAATGCAGGGAGGCACCATCTTGTCTTTCACCTCAGGCGGCAAAATGCCTTGGTCTGCCCCTGCCCACAGTGGCCAACCAGATGCCCCTGGGAAGCCCACAAACAGGGCATGAGGGCAGTAGCCCTTCCCAGTTCATTATCTGTAGCAACTGGTATTCAGGGGCATGTGCTGTGAAACTGAAGGTGGCACACAGCCATCATGACTTGCAGACGTTGAAAGCTTTATCCTCCATGAATTTGTCCAGCCGTCTTAGAAAGCCATCTAAGCTCCCATCATGGTTTCTGGTTAAAAAAAGGTAATGCTTCAAATATGAGAAAAGTCTGTTTAATCAGAGACAACTGTGGGACTGCATGTGTACCTGCAAGCAATGATAACTCTTATCATACCTCCATTGAGTCTCTGAAAAAATGTCAGTTCACAGCTCGAATTTCTTCTTGAGCATCAGACACACACACCCTTTTTTATTAAAAAAAGGTAGCAGTAAACAAGCATAAACAAGGAAACGTGATAATTGAGGGTGCACATGCATTCTGCTGGTATAGTCACACGGCTGCAAATGAGCCGTGACTGCTAATTTGTTCAGGAGACGCAAAATAGCAAATGAAAAGCTTGTCAGAGGTAAATGCCCTGAAAGCTGCTATAGAAATAAGAAAAGTGATATCTTTTATTGGACTAGTTGTACAACACATCTAAAAGGTATGCCAGAAAATTAAAATTCATGACCTTGTGGCAGGCAAAGGGCTGGACTGAACAGAGACTATGGGTTAAAACTGTTTGTAGCTTCCTTCTGGCCATTCCCTCCCCCCCCTTCCCTCCCCCCCCCCTTTGCAACATATAAGCTTTGAGTACAGTCAGGTTGTGTGTGTTTGTGTTTGTGTGTGTGTGAGAGAGAGGGAGAGAGAAAGAGAGGGAGAATTTCTTGGAAGGACAGAAAATAGTCAGTCCCTACCATTGTGAGAATCCCAGTTTTTATTTTTATTTTTTTAAAAAGAGTTTCTAGTTCTTATGGTTTCAAATATAAGTTTGGACAAACATGGGTTATGTCTGCACAGAAGTAGCTGCGAGAGAGTTCCAGAAATCAAGAGTTTTCCGCTTCAGGCCCCATATAACTTTTTGATTCTGCCACATGAATAGGAAGACCTGGATAGATTATGCAAAATAGGAAACATCACAGGTGCAAAATAACTAATGTTTGCTCATAGTTTGGGATGAAATGCAGTGCTTTCATTCCTGGAAGCAAGCCCCATTGAACTTCTAAGTAAAGATTCAGGTTGCAAGACAAAAGCTGCAGAGTTCAGCCAGCCACTGCAAAATCTGAATAGCAGAATATAAATTTACTATTATTATTTTAACACAAAGCTGCACACATTCCTGATTATAGGCCTCTATATGATGATGTGCACAGGTTGGGGGACTGCCAGACCCAGAACCAAAGAGACCTGGGTTGTCTTTGCTGTTAGGAAGATCTTGTTTGTTTTTTGCATTTGTCTATGTATGTAACTTTGGTAAGTCAGCAAATAAATGAATAAAAACGAGCTATCTGAATAACGAGCGTGTATGTTTTAGTTTACAGATATATCATCCAGCAAGAAACCCAGATGCCTGTATGTATGTTATTTCATACTCTTAATACAAAATATTTCGTACAAATGTGTTGCTGTTAAAATTGTGCATCTCTTGTTCCTGGGCTCTCTCTGTTAAATCTGACCCCTTTTCTTCGCCTCAGCAGCAGCCGAGGAAACCAACACGGTTACTATAACACCCCTGATGTGAAACCTCACTCTCTTCAGAAAGGACGGATGCACTTGAAGAAAGCCAAGGAGGACAAATCCTGCGCCCACCCAGTTAAATTGTTTTATGAACCTGTTGACTGCGCGAGGGACGTTTGGAGACCTCAGAAGAAAGGGGACGCCGTCGGTGCCTCCCGCAAGGTTAACGCGAAATCAAAGATCAGTAAAAAAAGCAAACAGCTCTACTAAGAGCCCATATACGATATAGAGATATATGTATGTATCTAACCTAATCTATTTATAAATGCATAATGCAAGATCTGGCAGCTTTGGGCTACTACAGATAGAGATTAATAGCACAATCATTCGCCTGTCTGCTCAAAATTCAGTCCCCTGAGTTTGACAGGACTTGCTCCCAGGTCAGTGGGCCTAGGATTGCAGGCTTAATTCTGTCAAACTTGGAGGGGTTTCCTTCTGAACAGACAAGCCTAGGATTGCGCCGTTGGTCCCACCCATCGCTTAAATCACAATATATTTCCCTATTCATTTGGGCAAGGATATATTTAATAGATGATATAAATACGTAAATATATAGAATAATTTAACTGCCTCATTTCCAGGACTTTGATTGTAGATGTGGCACTTTATTTTTCCCAAGAGCATCTTTTCAATTGAGTCCGGCATTTCACTCATCCTAAGTCTGTTTTGCTTACTTACGTTTGGAGGAATTCCTTCTGCCTGGCACCTTAATAAATCCCTTTATCTAGTGAGAGTGAAGGGTCGGGAATAGAATTAGAAAACAGTTTGTGGAAGCCCTAAATGCACTGAGCCGAGTGTTCTTCCTTTGACGCCAAGGCACAAACTTCACCATGCCATTTCTGCAAGGACTAAGCAGCTGGGAGGAATCTGATTGGATGACTACCTCCCTCTCCTGCCTACAACCACCTAGAACAGGAAGTAGGGAGGAGCGATCTGGAGGTCTCTGTAAGCTGCGTTCTGCTGGTGGCCTAGACGGGCAGCTGTTGGGATTGATTCCTGCACTCGCTTTCTGGGAGAAGACAGTGCAGATGCCCTCCAGCTGCAGGGCAGGAGGACTGGGAGGTTATCAGCACTGCCTTTTCTGGGTAGCTAAGGCAGGATGGAGGCTCAGGGCTCACCCCTCGACTTCCTATTCCATGCAGCTGAATGGCTACTTTAGAGGTGCAGAAAGCGCTGCAGCAAGGCGCCACAGTGACTTAGTTTTGTGCCTTGAAGGTCAGCACATCTGCAGCCATTTACCTATATTGTATCTGCACCTCACTTTTCCTTCAAGGAGCTCCGGACAGCGGGAGGGTTGTTCTGTTTTGCCCTCCTGGTTTGGGCTGAGGGAGAGTGGCTCAAGTTCATGCCACGAGCTTTACACATGAGTAAGGGGTTCAAACTCATGTCTGTCTGGTCCAGGCCTCTGGGGAGTAGTGGGGGGCCAGGGAAACCGTGGCCACCGCTAGGCCCATAACGCTCCTAGTGGCTTTTCTTACCCTTGAGCAATAATACAATACAGCAATTGAGCCCCTGCATGACATAGAGTGGCTTGTTTTGCCGTTCTTGATCCAAGCTCAAACGCTTGCTTCACGTAACTTGCTCTTTCCTGAAGCAGCCCTGTGTGTGGTCAAGTCCCCCACCATCTTGCCCAGGAGAAAAGCCTGAGGCCGCACGATGCCATTACACTGTCAAGGCAAAGCAGCGGGTCTCAGTCTGGACAGTGGCTGGAGCCATAGGTAAGCTGCTCCTAGCTTTCTTAAGGAAGGCCGGGCTAAGGAAGGGTGATAATAAGCTGCCATACTTCTTCCATAGAGTAACAGCCCTCCCTTAATGGTAGCACTCACAGGACTTCCAAATAAGTGGGGTGGGTTGTGTTTGGCCAAAATAGTCAGTTAATTCATCCACTTTGACTTTCTGGAACAGGTGTGGGCAACATAAGACTCACAAGCCAAAAATGGCCTGTAATTCTGTTTTGCAGAATGTGACATGAGTTGCAGTCGGCCCAAAGTTTGTTTTGGGGGCCTAATCCGGCCCCTGTGGAAAAAACCTTGACACCTTAAAAAAAGCTCAACAAGTTTGGTTGGCCCTTTGGGCGGCCCTCACAGCCCTTTATTTCATCACATCTGGCCCTTTTTGAAAAAAGTTTGGACACCACTGGTAGTGGAAGGCTTAGAGCAGGCATAGGCAAACTCGGCCCTCCAGATGTTTTGGGACTACAACTTCCATCATCCCTAGCTAACAGGACCAGTGGTCAGGGACGATGGGAGTCATAGTCTCAACATCTTGAGGGCCAAGTTTGCCTATGCATGGCTTAAGAGACACATCAGCCCCTGAAGCTAGACGGGGAGGAGGGGCATTGTTATCTCTCTTCAAGGAGAACAGAGCAACAGCAGGAAACTCCTGACTTTACTAAGTCCACTGCCACCTAGTGACTTGACCATATAATGGCACCATCCACATGCTTCGCTTGCAACATTTGATGGCGTTCCTTGCTCATTCTGAGTGCTGTGGGGCCTCAGGGTCTTCACGACTTTGTTCGTGGCTCAGTGAATGAAGTTCGCTAACAGCAGAATCCAAAGGTGACAGCAGCCTTCCTCAACTTGGGGAACTTGGCACTTTCCAGATGTGTTGGGAAAGTCATGTGGGCATTGCTGTCTGAAACTTCTGGAGAGCATCAGCTTGCGGAAGGCTTGGCTACACAGTTGTTAGTGTGGCCTAGTTCTCCCTGAGGTGGTAGACTTATCCCAGGCTGTACTATTTTATAACTGCAGGTGGGAGCTCATGTGATGGAATGGTCCTCTGCAGATTAAAAGAAAAGAAAAGATTTCTCACATAGAAAACTGGCATGTTGGAGACAAAGCAAGGCTTTCTATGAGGAGGGAGTTTTTGTTTGGGGTAGAATGTAATCAGTCTGGAGTGGTACAGTCCAAGCACAGGTTAACCACCCCATGCCTATGTTTCATTTACCCCCCTGCGGTATCTGCAGTTGCTGTTGGCTGCTATTCTATGAACTCTCATTAAATGGAATACCAAAACCTGGTGGAGATTTTAAAAAGTTTGTATATGACCCTCTTCAGCCACAAACGGTTCCGATTTCTCCCCAGAAGAGTTGGCAAAACATGAAATCATAGCATAGCAACCCCAAATACGGTGCTTAAATTTGTACAGTGGTACCTCGGGTTAAGTACTTAATTCGTTCCAGAGGTCCGTTCTTAACCTGAAACTGTTCTTAACCTGAAGCACGACTTTAGCTAATGGGGCCTCCTGCTGCCGCCGGGCCGCCGGAGCATGATTTCTGTTCTCATCCTGAAGCAAAGTTCTTAATCTGAAGCACTATTTCTGGGTTAGCGGAGTCTGTAACCTGAAGCGTATGTAACCTGAAGTGTATGTAACCCGAGGTACCACTGTGGTTCGAAACTATACTTTTAAATAGCAAACTACAGAAAGAGGCAATCCATAATAAATTGGGCTGTCAACTGATAGAGGATACAATAGGCATAGGCAAACTCGGCCCTCCAGATGTTTTGAGACTACAGTTCACATCATTCCTGACCACTGGTCCTGTTAGCTAGGAATGATGGGAGTTGTAGTCCCAAAACATCAGGAGGGCTGAGTTTGCCTATGCCTGGGATACAACCTGGGGTTGTTTCCAAACCAGCTCCTGGAGAGGGGCACTTCTATTTCCTTTCTTCTCTGCATGCGGCCCCTGCCCCAGTCTTCTCCAGATTGTCCCCAAACCTCCAGAGCTGATTCTGAGGGTGCACATGGAGGAAGGCCTGCAGGGGAGAGGAAGGAAAAGTTCAGTTCCACAAACACAAGCCTCTGCCTTTTAATCCATTTGTGGATTAAATGTAAATAAATGTGCATATTACCAAAGCTTCGCTATAGGTGTCTTGCTTGAAGGAAGTGAGGAATCATAAACAATGAGGAAAGCTTACAATTTATAAAAGCCAACGTAACATATTTTGTGCTCCTCGCAATTCCTATGGCAATAGTTAACACACCAGAACCAAAATACCCTCAAAAAATAAATTTGCCCATAATTCTCAGATTAATTAAAAATTGCCGTCTCCTATTACAACTGACCCGCCCCGCCGCCGCCACTACTAAATCAATTTAGGGAACGATCCTAATTCCCTTCTGGGGATGCCGGGGCTGATCAGGGTGGCACAAACCCCACCACATCCCAAGCCCTGCTGCTCATGTTGGCCAAAGAGGAAGCAGAAGGGTGGTTTCATCCCGTGTTTTGTGGCGCCAGCTCCAGTCTGGGATAGCAGAAAGGCCCAGATTAGACCCATTGCCAGTAGGGAAGTTTAGGAGGGGAGGGGCTTGATGTGGTCTCTGAGCTGCCAATTGGCCATCCCTTGCATCCTTTCATATACAAAGCCCGCAGAGCTCAGTACAGCACACCCAACGGGGATATTATTGGCGAAGGAGGTTAGGCACGATATTCCACTAGGTTCTGCCAAGTAGAAGGATTCTGCTTCCATTGCAATGTTCTTCTCCATCACTTCTTGTGGACATGTTTTGGTGCCGCTAACCTTCACGCCTCATTTGCAGGAATCTTCGCGTCCTAGCGATGTTGAGAGGCAAAACTAGTTTTCTCCAGAGAAAGGAAGAAAATAGCTCAGCCGTGTCTACATGTAATTTATTTCAAAATGCTCCTTATAAGAGATGTACAATGTATTTCCGTGAAGTGGGTTTACAGTAAGTGTGTTAAGACTTGTGGACGATGTTTCGCTTTTTATTTTATTTATTTTTTAAAACCACAGTGAATATTTGATTTGAAAAACACACGTATGATTGTGGCAATAAAAACAGGGTTTACAATATATTTAACTGAGGTGAAATACAGGTAAGAATATTTGCTGTTGTATAAATAGCTCCAGATGGAAGTTGGTGATTAATCCATCTGTTAAATTATTGTTTTATTTATATAATGTATATGGAACTGTTTTTTGTATATGTCCAACTTTCCCAATGCTGTTTGAGTTGTTAGTCCTATGCTTCAAGGCTGGTTCATCCAACCTTATTTATTTCAACTGATAACTGCAACATCAAGTGATGACTTCCATGGGTGGGTAGGTTATCAGAGATCTAACACTATAGACCAGAGCTTTCAAATCACCTCACATCTGCTCTGGGCTAATGCTCGTCAGTGAAATAAATTCATACAGATTGCAAGGGATGTGGGTCTGCCTCCATAATATGGTGCAGCCAACGTGGCACCCGCAAAATGTTTTGGACTGCAATTCCCATCAGCCCCAACCAGCATGGCCTATGCTCAGGGATGATAGGCATTGTAGTCCACCATATCTAGAGGGCACCCATTCTCCCCCCCCAACTATATCCTAGGCTGTTTCTTGACATCATTATAGGATGTGTGTCTCCATCTTGCACCCCATATCATTAGTTGACTGGCAGGAACAGAGGAGTGTTTAGCACAATGATGTCAGGACATGGGGCACATTTACTTGATTGAAATATTTCTTTCCTGCCTGACAACAGGACTCCATGGCAGCACAACCAAGGAAAATGAGGACCACACAACATAGGGGTTGTATCCAACTTAGTCATAATCAGAGTGCCCCCCCTGTAATCGACTTACTTAAGTTTAGTCGCGATTAACTTGTCCATTGATTTTCGCACATCTATTTGGTGTATGGCTTGCTTTTTTTAAAATATTGGATTTCTTACCTGCTCTTCAGCAGAAGGCTCCAAGGCAGGCTGCAATAATAGTTGGATACAGCCCAATGGGTGGTATTCACCTAAGTTTACTCAGAGTAAACCCACAGAAATGAATGAACATAACTAAGGCTGCAGAACATGGCAGTTTATTCCGTTTCCCCAACATGTCCTTAAATGGTTAAATTCCACATTATAGTTGAGCTTCCACATGTCGCATAAACCACCTCCAGGAACGTAGTGCCTGCTTAGTGCTCATTTCCATGTTCTTTGCTTCTGCTTGCAGATAACATGGGAATGAGCAACCAAACCTGTGCGACGCTCTACTGCATGTCCATTTTATGTCGTGTGAAAGCTCAAATATCAAGTGGAAATCAACAGCTTAGGGGAACGTCAGGAAAATGAAACAGACTGCTATGTGGGGGCAGCCTAAACTAGGTCCAGGCACTTCTGTGGGTCTCCTCTAAGTAAAACTTGAATACTGCCCAATATAAGAACTTAAGACGAGCCTTCTGGATCAGGCCAAGGGCCCATCTAGTCCAGCAACCTGTTACCACACTGAGTGACCGGATGCCTGTGGGAAGCCTTCAAGCAGGCTGTGAGCGCAATACACACCCAGCATGCTTTGGGGCCCTGTTCACTTTCCCTTGGGCCAGGGGTCTGCAACCTTTAAGACAAAAAGAGCCACTTGGACCCATTTCCGAAGAAAAAACAACAACTGGGAGCCGCAAAACCATTGCGACATTTAAAACAAATATATTTATGGCATTCTTGCTGTCCGGAGGGGTGTTATAGTGCAACAGAAGTGGGACAACCCCCTGCCCCGAAACATTTGCGGCATGTAAAGTTACAGGACTGCAGCAGGAAGCGAGGAGACATGTGGTTATTGGAAACAAAGCAGGGAGTTCTCAGGCAGAGGGGAAACCTCCCTGATAACCACCATGAGCACAAATAATCATGAATGCACATGAAAAAGGATGTCTGGAGGGGCTCTAAGGGTGTGGCACAGGGATGCTGTAGAAATAGTTCCCCCTTCCCCAATTGTGACTTCTAGACGAACTTGGAGTGTGTCCTGACATCCTTACAATCTCCTGTTTCTGTGCCCCTGCTTTGCCTCACTGGTTGGCAAGGGAGGAAAATATACATCGTAATGACATCAGGACACAGGACGAGTTGAAGCAGATGTTGCAAATAGTAATTGGGAGCTTGAAAAGGGGCTGCTGACCTGTGCTTTTGACAAGGTGCCCTCGGTACAGTTACCTGCCTCTTTCCTGAGCTGAGACTGTAGCAGCTTCCTCTTAACTACTTCAGCTACACTTTACTTAATGGCCATTAGTCACCGAGAAGAAGCAGAAAAAGAGGGTTGGCATTATGGATAGGATTCGTTCCCATCTCATTTTAAGTTGTTTTTCATTGAAG